ATACAGAAAGAAGCTGTTCTGCTCCTCCGAACAAGCTGCCAAAACTCAGCAACCCAGACGATCAAGCTGGAGTGTCCGGGATCGAAGGCAGAAAATTCTAATTTTTTTTTTTATCTGAATGTTAAACTTATATTGACCAGTCCGCGAAAAAAAGTATTTATTCAAATGATGCAAGAAGTCTGGAGAATTCCAAGTAAAACTGAATAGTATTAATTTCGTTTTGTACACAGCTTTGCCTGATGAGGTATTGGTCGAGGTGTTTAAAAACTTCTCCCTTAAAGAAATGCTTAAAACATTGTGCCTGGTCTCACGAAGGTGGAGGCACATTGTAAACAATAACAACATTGTGTGGAGTTGCATCCTTCTTGATGAGTGGCACATAACATATTTAAGTGAAGAACAATTTATGAACATCATGTCACACTCCAGTGGGTTCAGATATTTATCCATAAGATATATCGAAATGACAACATCCGAAATGAGGCTGGAAGCATTACTAGGATATAGTATAGAATTTTCTAAACATTTGAGATATTTGGATTTAAGTGGACAACCGATATCATCCCTTAATTTCCTATTGATTGAGTCCTCCCCTCTTGAAACCTTGATCCTTAATGACTGTCAAAAAACAGATACCTGTTGTTGTACTGCTATTTTAAAGCTATTAAGAAATCTTAGAATATTATCGCTCAACCGAGTAGGATTCACTGCCAATCAAGTGGCAACAATTACTGCCTCTTTATGCTTATTGAATGTTCTGTGCCTGGTTGGTGTAAGCCTTGCGAGGGAAGACATAAGACTGATTTTGCAAAAATTGAATCACCTTCAGTTTTTTGAAATATCTTGCAGTTCTGAAGATAAAGAACATATCTATCCTCTAGGGGAAGAATATGACGTTAGTTTTGTTTGCCGCTAAGAGTAAAAATATGTTATATAACACGGTGGCATAACAGTGTTGTGTTATAGAAAATAGTTTATTATAACATTTACTGAAGGTCTAACCAAGACATTTTGTATCAGCAGGCTATGGTATTTTTTTTTTAATTTGTGTGTATGACAACTTCATATATTGTCAATTGAAATTTCGTCAAATAAAAAGTATGTGCGTTCAATTTTTATTGAGGTTATTTGAAGTAGGTAAGGGACTAACATATTAGGGGTTATGAATGTATACAAATAGTTGTTTTTATAAATTTTAGATGTAGTTACAAAAGGCCCTGTGGCTGCCACTTCTGGTTCAACCACAGGCACAAAGATCGATTTGGGTACTGTTGTGAAAGCTGCTGAAGGCTCGTGGGGTGTTTTGAAGCAATTATCGCAGGAAATTACAGATGAAAAAAGAATGCAATACCTTACGTTTCACTGGAAGCCTTCTGAGTCCGATATACTTCATTCTCATCAAGTTACCAAAGGAAAGAAGACGTGGAAAGTTTCTTTTCAATCCAAATGGCTAAAACAGTTTCCCTGGCTTTGCTACAGTAACTTACTTGAAGGTGGTATTTGTAGTCACTGTATCTTATTCCCTCACAAAGTTACCAAGGGAACAACACCAGGTGTATTGGTCACAGCATCATACCAGAAATCGTACACTAAGGCACTTAGCAAGGATGGCATCCTCAACTGTCATGAGCAATCTGTGATGCATAAATATGCAACTGAACAGGCAGACCTCTTCAAACAAACTTTTGA